TTTTCTCGAATTTCAAGTGCTTTCCCGTGAGATGAAAGTGCTTTCGAATACTCTCCCATTTTGTCATATACACTACCGATGTTGTTGTATGCAGTAGCCAATAAAGGATGATTTGAAGAAAGAGTTTTTTGATCAATTTCAAGTGCCTTTTCGTAAAATGAAAATGCTTTTGAATACTCTCTCATGTGCTCATACACACTACCGATGTTGTTGTATGAAGTAGCCAAATGAAGATGATTTGTAGGAAGAGTATTTTTACGAATTTGAAGTGCTTTTTCGTGATATGAAAGTGCTTGCGAGTACTCTTCCATCTCGTCATACACCAAACCAATGTTGTTGTATGAAGTAGCCAAATAAGGATGATTTGAAGGAAGAGTTTTTTGATCAATTTCAAGTGCTTTTTCGTGATACGAAAGTGCTTGTGAGTACTCTCCCATCTCGTGATATACCGAACCGATGTGGCTGTATGAAGTAGCCAAATCGGGATGATTGGCAGAAAGAGTTTTTTTTTGAATTTCGAGTGCTTTTTCGTAAGATAAAAGTGCTTGGGAGTACTCTCCCATATGCTCATACATACTGCCGATGTTGTTGTATGAAGTGGCCAAATGACGAGGATCTGAAGGGAGAATTTTTTGATCAATTTCAAGTCCTTGTTCGCAATACGGAATAGCCTTTTCATAATCGCCTTGATTTAAATAGATAGCCCCAAGCCGATTATAATAATGCGCTTGCTCACCTATATAAGATGTCTGTTCGAGTAATGTGGTGTACAAGGGTTCAGCCTTATTAAACTGACCAATAGTAAACAATAATTCACCCAATCTGTGCCATCCGGTACCACCAGCTTCTTCTCGTATTCGATCAGTAAGTAATCGTAGTTGTGGATCATCATCCGACGTTAATTGTAATTCAACTTGATAAAGTTGATTCTTATTATCGATTTGTGTAATTGCGCTCACTCGAAAGACAGTGTGCATTGAGAAGAGAATTTCTTCTTCTTCCTGAAAATAACTCATCTCTTTGATGAAAGCAAACGGTGTTGATTTAATATCAGGGTCAATAGACATTATAAAAAGAATGCCCATTGTATCCAATTTTGTTGAAGCACCTTGAGCAAAACCAAGGGACACATCTTTATCTTTACTGGTGGACAAGAAATTGTTAAATGACATAAGTCCACCTTTTGTTTTTTGAAGTTTTTCAAAGTCTGATTTCATAAGACCTTGTCCTCGATAAACTAAAAAAGGTTGTGTTTCATAACTATTGACTTGTTGCTCGTATAACTGTTTAATTTGTTCATGTACATCACGTAGAAAAAAACCCATAGTAATAATTATATCGGCATCCATTGTTCGAAGACCATAATTGAGCATAGAATAGATACCGCATGGGAAAGTATACCACCAAATAGCTAATTGAGAAGTGTATTCTTTTTCAAAACGGTCAATATTGATTGGTGATACGCTGTTAGAATTTCGACAATAGGTAGTAAACTGTTTGATGGTCTGTTCCGCATGATCCATATCAAAGAGAATTTCCTTGAATAGCTGGGTATACATAAATGTTGGCTCCAACTGATTTAAATTATCAGTTGAAGCCATTTCATCGACTGTGATAAAACTCATAGCTATTGAGTCTTGATTGAACTGCTTGATACCGACTTCTAATGCTTGACATAGATCAGCGACGCTGGTATGAATGCTCTTGATTTTGTCGCATTTTTTTACCCATTCTTCTTGTAAGATTTTAATATCATTGAAGATATAAACACTATGCAGCTGAGGAATATCATTGATGAGGGGCATTATTTGTTGAGACATAGTATCCTTGACAACGAGAATAAACTCGATGTCTAGTTGAGCATCTGTGAGAAAGTCGATGCATGCATCTCGTTGCGTAAAGACATTAACATCAGCCGTAATAGTTCGTATTTGTTTTAATGTGTTTTCATAATCTTCGTTTGTTTGGTCGATGCTGGTATCTACCCATAGGAGAAGGTAGTTTTGTGTCATACGTTGTCGTGATTGTTGAATATTTCGTGATGCTGTTGATTTGGATGATACAACAGCGTTTTCATTTGATTTAAATCCACTCATTTTGATCCTGTTGTAAATTTTTTGTTGAAGGTGAACTTGTCAGTGTATGCTGTTGTTTGAATGAAAATAATAATCACCGTTTTTTTATATAGGCAGTGACTTGTTTATTCTCGATTTTTTTGTTGCCGCTCAAGGACAAATTTCATCTAGTTACTTTTGAAAATAATATTGTATAGAGCAAGAAGCAGAACAAACCAAACACATTTGCTGGTAACATTATCGAAAGAACGAATAAAACAGAAGCCGAGATTCGAGTAAAGGTAGAATGAGAACTACAATTCTATCACCGAATTAGTTTTTGTCAAACGTCATGTTAATGTTTGGTGAATGTATGAAATTTATTATGACAAAACTAATGAGAAAAGCTATGTGAAGGGTATGGGTATCGATGTTGAGTGAACCTAATGCCAACCTACACAGATACCCACACGGATTGCGCACTTTATCCACGTTGATACACCCTCTATATCGTTAGAAATTTAATTCGGAGCGAGCCAACCAACGAGACTATTATTATGGTACATCGATCCATATTTCCTATTCGAATTGTTTCAAGGCCAGCATATTATTTCACATATATTAATGTTATATCGTAGTTTTCAGTGTCTATGCTAAAAAAATTACATTGACTCTATGAGAAATACTGACCATCTTATAGACTGATCTGTCCCATTCTATGTATGTTTTGCTAGATATGGACAATGTGGTCTCTGAAAAAGTCGAGCACAGTATATTTTTTCACATGTATCAATATGATTTTATAGCTCTCACTGACCTCTATCAAACTGAAAAAATGGCACTTTTAAATTGACAGAAAGTGACGATCGTGAGTTTCGAATGTTTCTTAGCATGGAATAAAATTACTGTGATGGGGCCAATGATCAATTTTGTTGAAAATATTATGTATTGTTCTGGAAAATCATTTTAGTGCATCTAGACTAGTATAGTGTAAAAGAAAGAAGCCTAAATTTTAAAGCGGAAGTCATCTACAGCATGGTTTTCAATTGGAACCTATTGGGGATCAACACGTCCCCGTCCTCGATAGGGTTATAAAGTAAAATTAGTCGAAAAATTATTAAAAATGAGTAAACTAATTGAATCGATGGCTCTGATAAGAAATAGAGGATATGAAATATCAATCGCTGTTGGTAAAGATTACTTATTTTATACTATTTCAGTATTTGCAAAAATAAAGCTTAGATTTATAATATATCTTAAAAGATTTTAAATGATAAATCCTGCGAAAAAAAAACTAAAGTGTGCAAGAATAGCGAGTGATATAAAACTAAAGTAGAACTGAAAAGTATTAAAATATCTAATTAGAAATTGAAATAATCATCTTTGTATGTCAGTAATAATAACAATTTTCCAATGAATGATTTAATCTTTATATTTTCAGTCATATCGAATGTATGCATGTTAGTTATTTGTTTTACATTTGAGTGAAACTAACATCTATAGTCAAATTAATGAAATGAATATAAATTTTTATTGCCTACTTTGTTACATCATTTAATTATTTATTATGAAAAAGTGCAGGTATTGATGTCGGTAACCATATGGTCATTACTAAGAGATGAATCATTATTTTTACTAGTTTTCATAGTATTAAAAGAAAGTTTTAAAATTTGAAAATCATAGTGATACAAACGAGTAACATAGTTCTTATTAAAATATTACACATATGCAGCACAAAGCCAATTTCATATAAAAAATATTCATCAGTTGTAGTTCACACTACTAGTACAATCAATTTTCACTTTTACTTCCTTATAACGCATTTGTATATGATTTTGTGAAGAGAGGAGCCGTTCATTCTAACAATTCATATTATTAAGATATATATAAGTACGTGTCTTTTTCTACTCTTTTAAAAATGTATTGTACTGATAAATAGAAATATAGATGCTATTAAAATCATAAAAATAAGCAGACAATATTTTTAACTTTTCAGTTTTTTTTTCTCATGGTCGCATGAATAAGTCATAAGTTTTTTTTCTCTTTAAAGAAAGTAAAATTATTTCTTCTATTATGTTAAGGTTGTCTCGCTGCTATGCAACGTAAAATTCATTATTTTAAGAACTGAACGAGTAAAAAAAAAAGAGAAAAAAAAGTAAAAAAAAATATAAATTATAGGAAGCAACAATTTAAAGCTAATATTATGAAGGTTTTTTTTTAACTATTGTTTCAATTTTAGATTTAATTGATAAAAATGGATCGACGATTTTTGCAATTTAAAAGACGATTAGCGACTAGACATTTACCAACGATCATTCAATTAGTCGTTATTTCTTTTGTTTTTGCTACAATTATTTATATGTCGGCTAAATTCTTTTATCCTTCGATATCAAATTTTATGGCTCCTACTACTCTACCTACAACACCACGTTCTACAACAACAACAATAAGAACAACAACACAGCAACCATTCGGTAAGCTTTAATTTCAAAAAGACAACTGAATAAAAAAATTTCATTCAAGAGATTGGATGTTTCTTTGATAAAACAAATGTAACACTTGCCGATGGTTCTACTCGTTCATTAGATGCATTAAATATTGGTGATGAAGTTCTTGTTTATTTATCATCTGGTCAATTTGAAAAAAGTCGAGTATTAACCGTATTTAATCATCAACGTTCATCTGTTCGTTTTCTGGATATATATACAACAGATGATCAAGATCCACTTCGTCTTACACCATCACATTCAATTCTTATCAAGAAAAATAATATTCAACAATCATCATTTTGTTATGATTATGCTTCTAATATTGTTATTGGTGATTTTGTTTTATCAGCACAATCAAAACCGAAACAAGTAATAAATATAAAAGAAACTATTCTCTATAATCAAACAATTTCTACACCATTAACATTTGAAGGAAATATTATCGTAAATAACTTAATAGCTTCATGTTATGCTACTTATCATCATAAATTTATGCATATATTATCAATACCCATTCGTTATTGGTATCAAATAGAAACATTTCCTCAATTTAATCACTTTATTATTCATCTTATTGAATTCTATTCAAAATTAAGCTTTTAAAAAAAAACTCATCAAAACTTTGTTTTTACTCTATCATAATGTTACAAGAAAACCATAGATTATTTCATATTTCAATAAAGGAAAAGTTATATGCTTGAATAAAGTTACTAAAAATGTATAAGCAAAAAAAAATGACATTAGATATTTTTTTATTCTTGTCTAACGAATGATTTTTCTTTTCATTTTCTCTAAAAGAAAAAAAAACAAAAATAACAATATAAATTAATCTTCTTTGGAAATCTTTTGAATTTCTTCATTTCTAGTTAAAGGATGTTCTCGATTACGTTGTAGATTATAAGATCTTGATCTTCGATGATAATTTGTTGATAAAAATGTTTTAAAACTTTGATATTTTTGTTTTAATAATGCTGGTCGAGTTTTTTCACGGACTTTGTCACGTAAAACACTTAATGTTGTTAAAATATTTCCCAAAAATAATATAAAAAATACTATTGATAAGACATAGACTTGCCACTCATGAGTAGATGATTCATGTGCTAATTGCCATAATGAATATGCATTAAATAATTGAAATAAATAGCCAACAAGAAGAAATGGAACCAAAAATGATAAACCACCTTTTGAAAAAGAAAAGATGAAATTACTTTTCTTAATTCTGATCTACTTACGAAACATCCATTGATGAAATCCTTCAATAGTTATATCCATATCATGTGTTTCTCCTAACGCACGAAGTCGATAGAGACAACCACGTTGATAATAAAATTGTAGACCCTATTAAAAAGCAATAAAGTCGAATAATTAGAAGAAAAATTCATTTACTTGAACAAAACTAAGATAAAATGAAAAGACGAAAAATTGCGTACGAAATGCTTGATAGGAAGGAGATTCAGGCCATGTTAATAGAATACCTGTAGCTACTGTTGCAATGAAATGATGCGCTCTCCACCAAGCTAGTAAAATAAAACAAAAACTATATATTCTATAAGAAAAAAAAACAAATTTACGATTAATATTTGAGCCATTAACGATTAAAATAGATTCTCGTATTGTTAATGTGCAATAATACCAAACAAGTAAGAAATGAAATAGTGCATCAAATGCACGATAACGTGATGTTAATGACCAGATAACAAGTGAAGAGACTAATGAAATACATGTAACAATAAATTTAAATTTTTCATATTCTTGTTTATATTTCCATTTATCAGCTTTATTCAATATTGAAACATCAACACCACCGAGAATTACTCTTAAATATGGATCTTTACGTGGTAATGTATCAGAGATTCTTGTTAGATATAATTCATTTGTATTTAAATTATTAGATATGATATTTAAACGTTCAGCAGATGATAATGTATCGACTAATTTATCTAATGTTGGTGATGAATTTACTGATGTTAATGGACGTAGATGAGATGGTAGACTTGATGGAGATGAGAGATTTCTACTTAATAAGAGATTTGCAGTTGATTGAGAATTTTTTTGAGTTTTCAGACTTGAGTTCAAAGTTTTAGGTTTTATTTCTTCATCTAAATTAAAGAAGTTTTTTTTACAGTTTCAACAAGTTTTTTTTCTTCTAACCTTTTTTTGCGTATGATTTTCGTAATCGAGCAACATCATTTTGTAATTGATGAATTTTTTTATTGTATTTATTAAATTGATTTCTATAGATTGTTTTAAGTGATTCAACTTCATCTAATTTTTGAACATATTCTTTATGTTTTGGTTCAAATGCACGTATTTCAGCATCAAACTCTAACCAATTATCATATAATTTCGTAAGTTTTTTATCTTCAAATGTTTCCACTTTATTTTTTATTATCATCTGTTCATCATCGTTAGAATTTCCAGGTGATGATGATAAAGGTTGATCTTCTTCTTCTTCATCTCCTGAATTTCCCAGATCAAAATGACGTTTTTCTTCATTTCCACTAATGAACATTGGATCACTTGTCATTATTTGATTTGATTTTTTTTCCTGTTATTAAAAACTCGACATCTAAAAATAAATAAAAAGAAAATAGAACTAAGTATTATCTAAATGGTATTATCATTATTAGTAATAGAAATGCAATTCATATTATTGACAAAGATCTTAAAAATGATATATTCTTCTATTATACTTAAATCTAAGTAAATAGAATCAATTTGCAAATAAGATATTTACTATTTCGAGCAATTCTATTACATTTAACAAAAAAATAATGATGAAACAAGGACGTTCGAAATTGACTATACGTTTTACACCATTTACAACATATCAACGATTTGATAATGAAACTGATCAATTATTTCTTCATGATTCAGAAGAAAAAGAAATCAGTACTACGGAAACGACAACAGGGGGTCTTACAGCACTTGAAGCAGCATGGAATGTTACAAATGCTATTCAAGTTGAGTATTTATTTTTTTATTCGAATTAAAAAAACTAAAATATGTATTTTAGGGTATGTTTTTGGTTAGTTTACCCTATTCAGTTTATCATGGTGGTTATTGGTCTTTACTCGCAATGGTTGGTGTTGCATGGATATGTACTTATACAGGACAAATACTTGTTTCATGTCTTTATGAATCAAGTCCATCGACAGGTGTATTAACAAAAGTACGATATTCTTATGTTGATATTGCTGAATATGTTTGGGGAAAACGTTATGGTGGACGAATATTATTTGTCGCTCAAAATATTGAATTATTAATGACTTGTAAATATTCCTATGAGAATAATAAAAAAAAACAGAATAGAATTATTATATTATTTTTTTTTCTTAGGTATTCTTTATTTAGTTCTTTGTGGAGAATTACTTGCAGGAAGTTTTCCACAGTTTCATATTCCTGTTCGTTATTGGATATGTGTCTCATGTTTATTTACACTTCCATATTCATTTATTCGAAGTCTTCGTTTAGTATCACGTTTTAGTGCTGGTAATGCCGTTGTTCATTTAATAATTAATATGATTATTATAATATATTGTCTATCAAAAGCATCTATATGGGATTGGTCAAAAATTCAATTACGTATAAATATTGCTTCATTTCCAACATCATTAGGTATTATTGTATTTAGTTATACATCTCAAATATTTTTACCAACATTAGAAAATAATATGCGTCATCCATCACAATTTAATGCTATGCTTGTCTTATCTCATGTAATAGCAGCAGTATTTAAAACAGGTTTTGCATTAATTGGATTTTTAACATGGCAAGAACAAACATCTGAAGTCATAACAAATAATTTACCAACACAACAATTACGTATTATTATTAATTTAACATTAGCAATAAAAGCACTTCTATCATATCCATTGCCTTTTTTTGCTGCATGCGAACTTATTTTACCAAAATTGTCTCTTACAAATGATATAACAACATGGAAAACAATTCTAGCAAGAATTCTTATTATTATCAGTACACTTCTTATGGCATTATGTATTCCACATTTTGCTCAATTAATGGGTTTTATTGGAAGTATTACAGGAGTATTTCTCTCATTAGTATGGCCTTGTTATTTTTATTTATATTTAAAAAATTATTCACTTTCATGGTCAACAGTTTTTGGTAATTTAGCAATTATTCTATTTGGTTTTATGTGTACAATATCGGGAATTATCGATTCATCAAGAGAATTAGCAAAAAAATTTCGAGAATAGAAAAAAAACGATAAAGTCGAATGTAAAAAGAAAAGGCGGATGAACCTCTCTATTAGTCTTATGGGTGCATAAGCGATTAAATACTTGCTTATATTTGTTATTAATCAATAAGTAGAAATTCTTCTTCTTCTTCTTCTTCTTCCCATTATAATCTAAAGTAAATAGAACTTCTCAAATATTTTTCTCTGCTAACATTGAATAAAACGTTAATATATAATTAATAAATAAATAGAAAGAGAAACAAATATATGTATCATAAATCTTTTATTAATGATGTTATATACTGGAAAAGAAAATAATAACAACAACGACAATATAATAAGAATCATTTCTATCACTCGTTCGATGGAACAGCTCCACTGTTTGGTTGTGATTGTTGTGTTTGATAATTATGCCAATTTGCCTACAAAAAAATAAAAATAATAAAATCAATAAATAGAATAATTTTTCTCAAAATTTACGTTTGTATCTTTCTTTTTTTCACTATTATGAGCCAAACTTTGTGTTCGTGTAAATAAATTCTTTGTTTTTTCAATAATTGTTTGATAGGGTGATAAAACTTGTGAGCCCATAACAACTGTTCCTCCTTGTGAATCAATTTTTGCATCTAAATTTGCATTACGTATTAAATTAACAATCCAACGTTCAGCTTCTTCTGGACTCATATTTAATTTTTCAGCAAGCATTCTAAGAAAATATAATAAAAATTCGAATTCAAAAAAAAACAAAATCTCAATCTTACTCAATTGTAATACAACGATGAATACGACAAAATGTTTCAAATATAAGTAATCGAGCATTTTCCATAAATTCATCCATACAACCAATAAGGAAAAAATCATTATTAAGTACAGCTGTACAATCCCGTAATTTCTTTTGTGCATTATCGAAATCAAAATGAACATAAAGACATTCAAGAAATTCTGTTATTGGATCACGAAATGCATATGATTCCTAAATGAAAATAATATTTTAATAGAAAGATAAAAAACATTTTTTTCCTATAATAAACCTGTTGAATAATTTTAACAAGTTCTTTCAATACTCTGTCATTTTTTTTTCTTGGATTAATTATAACAGCTGCAGCTAAATAACGTAATAAATGTGGTGCCGTTGTTTGTAAAGTATTTAAATATATATTGGTTTGATTTGTTGATGTTGATGCTGCTGAATTAAGAAATAATTGTACGAGATCATCACGACCTTGTGGATGATTAAAATAAACGAATAATGACCAATGAATAAACCATGTACGTTGATGTAATAAATCTATTGGTGAACGAGAATTATTATTTTCAATGGCAACTTTTAAATGATTTAAATCATCATATGCTTCATCCCAACGTTGCATAAGAATTTCCGATGCTAATTTACCCCATAAACATGACATCATATTTTTATCATTATTTGGAACCTGAAAATATTTAGATAGATCATTTTGTTAATTAGAAAATAAACTTACAAGTGCTCGATAAAGACCTAAATTTGCAGCTGCTCGAGAATAATCACCACAATCATAAACATAACGTGCAAATGTATGAAGATCATCGACCATACTTCGTTCAATCTAGTTAGATAGAAATATATTTATTTAAATAATTATTCACATATGCTATCTATTCTAATATAGATCTGTCATAAAAGATTAATTACAATCTATTTGTCTAACTCTACATATGACATGTCATCATCGATCTACAAAAATAGATTTTGTTGAAATAAACATACATTGAATTTTTTGTGTAAAAAGTCTAATGCAAGCATTGAATCACTATTTCTAAAAGAAGAAAAGAATTTTTTTTTGTTAATTATATTAATTTGCAAGGTATTATTACCGTTGATTTTCAATAAGTCGAGCTGCATCTTCAGTAACAGCAGCATCGAGTAATGGTTGAACTGCTTCGGAAAGTTCATTAAAACGAGCTACAATTCCTTCACGTTTATCAACTAAACCTAAAATAATTTCCAAATATTAAAATTCTATTTGCTTTTTTTCCACATTAAATTAATAAAACCTTTTGGTTCGATTCCATCCGGATGAAGTTTATTATGAATATCAAGTTGAAAATCAACCATAGTCGTATGTTGTAAAAGATCATATTTAGCTTGAAGAATGTCTTTCTCATCAAAGATCTAAATAAATGATCAATTTCAAAATAATAATATAATCTTATGTTATGATTTTTTATTACATTTCGTTCAGTTAAAAATTCTAATAATGGAAAAACAAGATGTCGATCGAAATATCGACCTAATTTTGATGTTAAATCATATTCAGCCATCTAAAAAAACAAAAAATATTACTAACAATAAAAATACGGATACTAAGAACGAGTAAAATATATATTTTTTTCCATCGATTCATCAGAGTGGATAGATTAGTAATCGAATCAAACATTTTCAATAATGACATAGCAATTCAAAGTATTTACAATAAAATGAAAATGTCGAAATTTATTCGACATTAAATAATAGTATTTTGAAATTATATCATGGTAAATTCGATATTATATACATATTTATTAACTACAAGTGACATCTAGATTTTATATTTAAATTTTACGAAAATATTTATTTATTTATTTTCAATTAGAAATAACGAATTTTTTCAAAAATTTTTAAATAAAAATTCATTAATTAAAAATTAAAGAGGATAATTGTAAGGAACAATGGTTTACGTTGATTGTTCGAATAGTATCAAAAGCGCCACTTTTGTTTAAAATTGAACATTGATCATAGCGACAAAAACGAAGTTGTTCAGTTTTAAAGACAAAAAATGTTCCTTATTACACATCTGAACTGTTAATTTAATTTCTACAAATTAAAAAATTGTACAAGATTATCATCTGTGTCATATTTCATTGATTTATACGTAATGAAACCAAAAAATAATTTATATCATACAATGTTCATCGATCCGGGATGATTCAATTTCGAAATGGTTTGCTTTTTTTCTTCGAAAGAATTTTCTACATAATTCAATTTTTATTTTTGTTCAGATCGTGATTTCATTGCAAGATCTACATTTAACCACAAGAATCATCATTGATTAGATTGGTAAGGATTATATTTATTTATTTACTTATGAAGTTAAGAAGTCTTAGAAAATATCCCAATTCATTAATGAATATAAAATAAACATATTTTTATTTCTGAAAACAAGTTGAAACAGATAGATCTGACATGTATTAATATTATTTATTTTGTTATAATAAACACATATAAAGTTTGACAATGTCATCCGTACGAAATATATTCTTTTTATGTATCTTGAAAAAAATAATTGTTTGAAACATTAATAAGAGTGTCATATGAAGATCATTACCGATAATATCTTATTACTAAAGTAAGACAAGTAACTTTGAGTCTTTACAGGTCAATTATTATTATCTCTTCTTAAACGAAATGAGCTTCCTATGTACCGGTGAATAAAATTTTATAAATCATACTTTTAAATTGTACAGGTTTGTATGATATCAAAAATAATACCCTCAGTATTTCTATACCTATAAAAGATAAAAAACGAGTGGACACAGATCAATAGCGAAAAACAGAAAAAAACTAAACACATTCCGTCGTATGATTTAGACGATATCAGTCACCGATGATCAAATTCAACAACATTTATTTGCAAACAATATGTCGATCAATACAATCTGTCGAAAAAAAAGGAACAAATCAAATTTTATGAATGAACTATATTACTTATGTACTCTTTATTTTAAAATACATTTTTTCTGTTCAACTTTTTCAGATTGCATTCAACTACTCAATTGTACAAATATAAAAAAATTGTTTTCGCTAATTGATCTGTGTCCTTATACTCTCGTTTATTCGTCTTTTTTTTCGTTCATTTTTTGAAATAGAAAATATTTTGTAAATTATTGTCATTTTTTTTAGATCAGTTAATCTAACTGATAGGAAACTATTATTGTGTATCTAACTACATGATTTAAACACATATTGGCATTTGAAAATACATAAAAATGAGTGGTAGTCAAGAAGAATTAGTTAAAGAATTTGTCCACGAGGTTTGTTTAATTCATATTGTATATTTAACTTATATTATCTTCTATATACATAGCTTCAAAGTATAATGGATAATCGTCCACCGATATCTAAAGCAAAGATGATGTCAATTACAAAATCAGCTTTGAAAGCAATCAAATTTTATAAATATATTGTAATGAATGTTGAAAAATTTATTATGAAAGTAAGAAAAACAATAAAAATTTGTTTATATGACTTATAAAATAAAATTTATTTTTAGTGTAAACCTGAATATAAAATTCCTGGTTTATATGTGATTGATTCAATTATACGACAATCTCGACATCAATATGGAGTTGAAAAAGATGTTTATGGAGCAAGATTTGCCAAAAATATTCTTACCACATTACATCATATTGATAAATGTCCACCTGATGATAGAGTAAAACATTTTTATTTAAAAAAACGTTTTAGTTTAAAATCTTTTCTTCTTTCTAGAATAAAATTACACGTGTATTGAATTTATGGGAAAAAAATGCTATTTTTCCATCTGATTTAATCCGACAACTTTTTGAAGTACATCAGTTTAATGTAAATACCGATGAAGTATCAGCTGCAGGTAAAGAATTTTATTATTTTGTAAAGAGATAAATATGATTTGTTTTATTTTAGTTGCACCTTCACATGATAAACCGAGTAGTGAAGTAAGATATTTATTAAAAGATTGTTGAAGAAATAAAAATAAATACTATTTCTTAGAAGTCTTCCAGTGGCAAAGAATTGGATCGTTTTCGTGAATTACAAGAAACATTAATGCGTGCATCTGCTAAAGGTGACCCAGATACAACATCTATTCTAACCGAAATACAACAAATAACAAATCAATTATTAGAATCTCAAAAGAAATCGACAACTGCAAATAATTCAGGTGATGAACCATCATCAACAACAACATCAATTATAAATCCAATTGAACCTGTACAATCTAATGTTGCTGTGAGCATGACATTTTTTTATTCTATTGTAATAAATTTCATATTCTTTAGAATGTTCTTGATGATTTTGATTATGGTTCAGATAATGATGATGATGAACCTCGACGACAAACAAATACAAATATTACATCTAGTTTTCCTTCACATAATATTTCACAGCCCATACAATATCTTCCGGTAAGATTCGTATTAAATTTAGAAAATAATGCTAAGTATTTATTTTTAGCCACCACCGGGAATGTTAATCAATCCTAATCATTCAAATACAGTTTCATTTCCTATAACTGATGCTAATAATATGTCAATATCTATGTCATTTGATCCAACACATCCACCACCAATCTTTTTTCAACAACCATTACCATCATCACTTTCTACACAACAACATCAACAGATACATTTTAATGACAATCGTCAAATGTTACATCAGGTTTGAATTAAGAAAACGAAAACTAGAATTTAAATAATTAAATTTTATTTTAGCCAACAGATGTTGATCTTCGTCCAGAAGATATGGAATCAGATATAACTGATGATCATCATCAGCAACATCATTCTCGTATACCAACGTCATCACCATCACGTTTTCATTATAATCGTCGTCGTTCTCGTTCACGTTCACGTTCACATTCACCATCTCGCGAATCGAAACGAACACGTTCATCATCAAAGTATAATATTCTATTTAAAATTTTTGACAAAATTCATTGAAATTTTCCTAGTTCAATTGATCGACGAGGTTCTGCAACATCACGTTTAAAAGAAGTTGAAAAACGTGAACGTCATCGAAAAGGTTTACCACCACTCAAAGAAGATCATCTTGTTGGTTAGTTAGATTATTTTAATAAATAATAATAAAATATATATTCTCTTATATTTTCTTTTTAAAGTTAGTTCAAGAACACTTTGGCTTGGACATTTACCAAAAATAATTAGCGAGATTGATTTACGTGAAACATTAGAACCACATGGAGAAATAACCGATATTAATGTAAAATTGTCTAGAATAAAATTATGAAATATTTTTTGTTTTTTATTCAAATAGAATATTCCTCCACGTGGTTGTGCATTTGTTTGCTTTAAAGAACGTTCGGATGCATCAAGATGTTTAGAAAAAATGAAAGATTATCGTTTTCATGGAAATCCAATTAAAGTATACATTAAATATATATATCTAAATATTTTATTACAAAAAATTATTTTTATTTAGATTGCATGGGCAACAAATAAAGGTTTAAAAAATCGTTTTAAAGATTATTGGGATGCTGAACATGGTTGTACATATATACCTTATTCAGAATTAAAAGATATTCCTAATTTAACAGCATTAGCTGAAGGTGGAACTATCGATGACGAATCAATACCATCATCATTAAAACGTTTGTTTTATTTTTCTTGTTTTTTTGTTATATTAATAAAAAAGAAAACTTTTTTTAGCTGCTGTGCCACCAATGATACATCATGACATTACTCCATTAGTTCATCATCATCAACAACAACAACAGCAACAACAACAACAGCAGCAGCAGCAGCAGCAACTGCAACTGCAACAAAGACAACCACTTATTCATCAACAACCATCATTTCCACAACAAGAATTTCAACCACAACAAAATCTTCAACATGGACCAACAACTGTTCATTTAGAATCAACGAATCGTTTACCACCAGGGTCAACAATCTTAATGGGACCACCTCATGAATCTTCGATACATGTTGGTTTACCTGTTCAAATGATGCCACCCGGTGCACAACTTATTCAAGTACAACAACATCCACATGGACAACCTTTACAAGTTGTTCAACGTATTCCCGGTAAATTCTTTTCTTCTTAATCATAGAAATTCATTTTTTATCTATAATTTCTTTACCTTTAACATAGGTCAAATGTTTCATAATAGTCAGATTGTTCACCAAATGCCATATGGTCATGTAATTAGAACAGCTCAACCTGGACAAACTATTCAATTACAACATCATCCTGCTGATTTAAAAGTAATTAAAATTAATATTTAATCGAAATGATAAAATAAAAAAATTAACTTTATTTTTAGGATTTAAATGCACAAGCATTTGCTCAAGGTATGTTGTTTTTATTTTTATAATTTTGCTTCTAATATATTTAAGTTCTTTAATGAGAAAGAATTAAATAAATTATAACCAAAAATAAAAAAAAACGAGCGAATGTATTTTAATATATCACTATATAGGTGGTGGATTGCATCTGTTAACAAATGCAAATTCAGTACCAACTCATCATCATTTAATGGGAACTACTTCTGTAACAACAGGAGTTCCATTAACTACAGCTACTTTTGCTCATACTGTTGAGGGTAAACATTCAATCACTTATAGTTATATTGATCTGCACATATCGTAGTGTTCTCTTTCTTATATTTATCTCTTGATTGCATGCTAATATTCATAATAATTAATTAATATCAATTTATTTTTTATTTAGTTGAGATTTAATTTTTTTGTTTGTTTAATTAATAGGACCTTCTCTAATCAAATTTCATGATGATTCTCATCGACAAATTTCACCATCAGGACATTTCGATGAACATCATCATCATCATCATCAACAGCAGCAGCAGCATCAGCAGCATCATCATCATCATCATTTATCATCAACTGATGAATCATTAGTTCGTTTATCAACATCATCATCTACACATTTTCAACCACAACTTACGACATTACAACCATCATTACTCGGTGCACCATCATCACCACGAAGTATTCATCATCATCATCAACAACAACAACTTGAAAATAATGTTATACAAGGAGGACGACCACCACCATCACTTTTGCAAATACCAGTTAATAATGATGAACAACAACAACCATCATTTCCACGACGAATAAGTCGTTTTGAAGAACGAGAAAGTGTCCCACAATCACATGATAATAATGCAAGTTATCCATCATTTCGAGGTGGACGACCTAATTATAATGATCGTATGACTTCTAATACTATGTCTAGAGGTTTTAATCGAGGAAGAGGAGGTAAGAAACTTTAGAAAAAAAAATCGTTAGTATTAAACTAATAAATTTATTTTTAGGTAATGGTGGAGGTGGAGGTAGTGGCGGTCGAGGTTATAATAATAATGATAGAAGTTTTCGATCGGATAATAATGATAATAATCCTGGTGGATTTCGAAGTCGAGGTGGTTTCAATCGAGGAGGTAAGTTTTTGCTTTTTTAAATCACTCTCATTTATTACTTCTACTATATGGTTAGGTCGTGGTGCTGGTGGAGAATTTCGATTTCATGGTCGCGGTAATAACAGAGTTAATCATGAACATTCACCTACACGTCGATCATCTCGTAGTCCTGATCGTCGTTCATCTTCGAGTCGTAAAGATCAACATTCAGATAAATACTCTTCAATAACTGGATTTTCTGGACCACCAACTGATGATTATTCTCACCGTTCGCTACCAAGTGAAGCATTACGTAAAAAAGATAAATCAAATTCAGAGCTATCATCAAATGATTCCAATAATAAATCATCATTAACTATTGATGAAACAATCGGTAGCAGAAGTGGACATACTGATTAATATATTATTGGTTTGATTTCCTTTTTTCTTTATGTTTCATTTATTATTATATCTATTACACGGTTTTCTTTTTGTCATTGATTCTACATGTGTTGCTTTTCTTTCTTTTTTTTTGTTTCTTTTCGTGTTCGATGTGAATGTACAGCATTATGTCTCGATTGTTTTCTTTTGTTTTTCATGCACACCTACACATATTCAGGATGTTTGATAACGAAATGAGAAAAAAAAACTACAATAAGTTTTTAGTAGTAAGATAAGAATGAAAAATCAATCCAGTGTATATATATATATATCATTAAGTAAGGCAGATATTTTTAATATGAAAGTGATAAATGAATATTGCAAGATATCCAGACTTTTATGAGTAGAAAGGATATGCTATAATCAATATGATGATATCTATGAAAGCAGCAACAATGTTGAAACATTCATCTCTAATAGTCATGAACTATACTTTTTAGTCATATGATATACCATTGATTTCTCTTCTCTTCGCAATAGATGTAAAGCATATTTATCAGAAATAAAGAGAAGAAGAACTTTCCTAACATTCAAACGATTTTGACAATATATATAATCTATTATCGCATCGTATTATTAAATTATCGTCGATAAAAGATTCATTATATAATACTGACCTTTCCATCATCAATAGAATTTTACATTACATACAATCTAAAAATGGAACAGTGAATCAACATAGTATACCATTGAGAAAATAACTTTAATTCTTTATTATTTTAACAAATATTTATTTGTTATAATAAAGAATGATACATGGAAATGATAAAAATAAATAAATGACTATAACTGATATTTCAAATTCTTTATCATTGCTCGTTATATTTAGGAATGTTTTAATGAGACGGAGTGTTCGCCGTATAATATCATATGCTCATTAATTACACTAGAATAAATATTGTAGGAATGATTGACTTAAAGACTTATATGTCGAAATAAATATATAGATTTATCGTTAATAATTCAGTACAACAGAGTTATTAAAATGAAATAAGTAAAAAGCAATTTAGATACATTGTAATGAATAAGAACTGAATTGTTTTTTTCTCTACACGTTGTCTGTAATATGGAGTTTCATAATCTCTATAGTTCCGCTAGATATCTATATACTAATTTGTTTCCTGCTAATTTTTTTCTCATACAAATTCATTATCAAATGTTAATCAAGTACATAATACATCTATTTCTCACATTTTTTCAATTGAACTAATCTCAAAATAAAAACTGTAACCTTTCAAGAGATTTATAATAATTTCCGCTTTAAAATTGTCAAGAACACTTTACAACAATTAAAATAATCGACAAAAATAAAAATACATTTAATGAGATACTAGTTCGAAATTGATCAAGGGATTATAAATGAAGTGACTGAAAAAAATGATAAAGTTCTATACATTTTACTTGTTCATTCTTTTCATTGATAATGAATGATACCATTTGTTCTCTACTCAATTGACATTTTTCACATGGTACATATTTCCTGAAATATACGACAATGTATCTAAGAATGAAGACAACCATGTTGTTTATGTCTCTTTAACGAAGATTAACATATCATAATTCAATATGAATTTATTTGATCACAATCGATTAGCTAACAAAAAAATCTGACAGATATTTTCGAGTTTTCTATTGGTTCTAACTTTATATTTCTAATCTGAAATATTATAACATCAATTAAAATTCTATTTGTTTGAAGATCATAGTAGAAGAATCTACGATAAATTTCCGGTCTCCATTAAAAAGAAACATTTTAGAAAATCATAAGAGTGTAAAGAAGAACACTTGTCATAATGATTTTGACATTGAGATCGAGATCAATGAAAACTATTAAAAAATAAATTTTGTGATTCATATAATGAGATGGAAATGAAAAGTATTCATAAAATAAATACAAAATTGTAATTCTATAAACATTGGCGCGTTTATTTTTTTATAGATATTTGTTGATCTAATATTGATAAAATGTTTTGTATAAATATGATATTAATAATTATATTTATTCCTGTATGTGTTTCTGATATACCATATCTACTTCGTTCATATCCTAGTGATTCCATTGTTATACAAACATCCTTTACTGATGGTCCATGTGTAGAATCAACTAAAACATTATCATTTCTTCAAGGAACAGACAATGCATCGTTGTATCACAGTGAATGTTTTCATAATTCAGACGATTCAAGTCTTATATGTAAATTAGGTCTTGGAAATGCTAGTTTATTACTTAATTTAGATAATTATCCACTTGATAATATTAATTTACTTATTCTATTTGTTCAAGAATTTTCCTCAGACAAACTCATACCTCGTGTACTTGATTTATGTTTTATAAATCGTTTTGGTAAATCATTACGAGAATTAGCTATATGTGGTTATCAACCACCTCTTACTGGACTATCAAAACATAAGTATTTACATATACTTGATATACCAGCTTTAGCTATAGTTGCTTCAAATATACAAACATTACTTATAAGTGGTATTGATATTCATTTCAACAAAAAAAAAATCTTTTTTTTTCATTGTATTTTTTAATAGGTGTTAATTTATGGCAAAGTGTAGAATTGCGTCAATTTAGTTCGTTAAAACATTTACTTATAATACAAGGTCGTAAGTTTTAGAATAGAAAAGATTATTTTTTAATTTAATTCCATATTAATTGTCTCGAAAAGGTACTATACAAATGAAATATTATCATTCTCCATTTTGTGCTGATTGTGAAGGTGCACATCCAACAGAAGAATTTTCATTTCATTATCTTATTCCCTTATCATCTCAATTAACTTATTTTCTTTATGATTCTCCTTTGGACTATAAATCATGCAAATATGATTTACTTAAAAAGATTCGATCAAGTTCAACAATTTCAACATTTATCGTAGCTTCAAATACATTTTTTAATAATTTAAATGAGCCAATATGTCAAACATGTGCAAGTGGTTTATGCCCTTTATTATCTATATGTCTTGATGATAATAGTGTTGAAGAACGTCGAAATAAAAATCAACCATTTGAATGTTTATGTGTTGAAGAAATAAAAGTTGAAAATGAATTTCTATTATGTAATTCAATGTCATTACATCAACCAATGTATTCAACAAGATGTAATCATACTCCATCATTTTGGAAATATGTAACGCGATCAATGATTATTGTAACAATATATATTTTATGTTCAATCATTGTTTTTATTTGTTCAACTATTTTCCTTATGAAAACAAAATAAAGTTTTTTTCTATTTATTTAAAAAATATTTAATCAAAATAGTTGAATATAATGATAGGCATTTATTTGAATGAATTCTTCTTATAGTTTCCTGTCCTACTTGCCCCTTATATTGATTTGATTTATTTGTTAGTAGCAATAACTTGATAGATTGCTGCTTGCATGCCACTCAACATCTATACACTTTGATTATGACTTCCTTGTTTTGCCTGTTTGCCTACAAGCACCGCCAGAGATTTGTTTGCTCACCAAATTGGCTACTGCTAACAGTCATCTTATTTCAAAAAAAAAAGAAAGAATTCATTAGAATTCCGTTCCACTTATACCCTCAAGTGTGTTCTCCCTTCTTCATCATTTTCTCCTCCTTTTCTTTTCTTGTACACATTGCATGAGACTCGTTGTGTCCAAGTATCGTCACAGCTTACGACCACTGCAAATTGGGCTCGTTTGATCAGAGCATGCGTGCGCGTCGTACAAGAGAAATCGAGTTGTACGTCTCATTTTCTCTTTCTCTCTGTTTCTATTTCTCTCTATCTTGTTGGTAGTAGCATTGAAAGAGAGTCAAAAAAAAAGAAGAAAAAAAAAAGGAAAGAGAAAACGTATTTCCGGATGGTCGCGGCAGTCTTCTCATCTCTACCACGTACTACTCATCATCATCACCACTGCGGTTAGATGCCTTAGGGAAATGCTTTGTTAAGTTAAAAAAAGAAAAAGAAATCGAGAGAAAGGAGAGGAGAGAAAAGAAGACGAAGCAGAAAAAAAAATTAGCCGTGTGAATAGAATCATATCATTTTAAATAAAATAACGGCTAACATAAAAGATGTTTGCTGTTCCTGAGGTCGACGACGATATTGATAGTTCAACTCCGATAGAACCTAAACAGTCGACTACGTTGCCTGAAGCAACAAACAAATCTCTTTCATCATCGTCACCACCACTTCCTTCAGTTGAAAATGTAGAAAAAAATTTAAATAAAATGTCAGTTCCACCACCGTCAGTACCACCACCATCAGCACCAGTTACTGCCAAACAACATCGTTCACGTCGAAGTCTTTTTCATCGCAATACAATTCATATATGTGATCAAATTGTTGACCGAGTGTAAGATCTTTTTTTTCCACTGTTACTTTTTTTTTTGTAATAATGATGTCTGATTTCATGATATATGCATGTGCGGGTCAGTGCACACACAAATAGACAAAGAATGAATAGGGACTAATAATAGATACCGACAGAGGCGTCATTGACGCCTGCTTGTGTTTTCTGAAGCGAGAGTGAATTAGATGGTTAGCTACTAGAAGTAGCCTTAGTATCATGGGAATACGGACTAAATGTCATATGTCACATTAAAAAAGGAAGAAAAAAAAAATGTTTCGTCTAACTGTCACACATTATAATGAACCTTTTTTCATTTATATCTTTATACATATTATACATATGTACTTAGTGTGTCTGCTCTCTTCATCAATGATGAAAAAGGTAAACGTGTTGATAGAAACGACTATCGTTACTATTCTTCGCATGATACTTATAGAAAGAATGTCTCCTTCTTTTCCTTTTCCTCTTCATTCGTTGATGGATGACCGGAAACAGTTGTTGCTAGTCCTGTGACATTCGATAAATCTTGTGCTTGAATGATGCTGTAATCACATACACATACTTATAGGCGTAACCTATATATGTAACACGCAAAGATGAAAAGAAGAAACGACATTGCTCAGAAATCTGAGAGAGAGAGGAAAAAGAGTTAGTGCAGGTACTATCTCTTAATACATACATATATACATATACAAATATATACAAGAACAGAAAATAAAGACTTTGATTGTCACTTCCTTATCCATGTTTCTTATAGATAACTTTATTGGTATATAACATCTGCTATTAATAGTCAAATAGAAAATGAATTTAGCCGATGGCAAAAAAAAATTCTACACCATAGAAGATTTTTAGTTGAAGGTGACATAAGAAATAAATATAAATATAAATATTTCTGGCAAGCGTACATATCTTAAGTATTGGAATGAATGACAAGCAATCGTGATTTGACTCAAGTAAACAGAAAAAAAACATAAGGACTATTCATTTGGAATGCAACAGAGGGAGATTACATCAGTATTATATGTATACATAACCGTTTGTTAGTCTGTACAAGCTAAATAGTTTCTATTCTTCTTATCTATTTTCCTGTTTATTAAATTCATCGAAAAAAAAACAAATAGTCATCTATTTATTTTTTTTTTTGTTATTCTTATATTTTCTTTTTTGAGTATTATATATAGAAGAAAAACGATCTAAGCTACTTTTTTCTTCTGATAATGTCTTTAAGATTGATTCACAGGTAAGCACCCGAAGTATTAATCTTTCTATTATTATTCCATATGTGTTTATATATATATAAAAAAAGAAAAAGTCGTGGGTGTTATAAGTCTGTCATACATTTGTAATGATTGTACCACTAGCGATAATCACTTATTTTTTTTTTATCATCATATAACAGAAATCTACCATGAAGAATCAGATCATAAATTACTAACATATATATCTTGACAAATTGAATTATATATTTAGAAACTAACGAAAGTTTATTACTATTTGAGACAGAAAAATATTTTCTTTATCAGATTGTCAAGATTTTTTCTTTTTTCTTTTTTTCTACTTCACTTAATGTCTTTTAGATGAGAAAATTGCACACCTATGTCTCTTCATTTTCTTTTATTATGACATATTATTAATAAGAAAAAAATGACACCATTTTCCGTTTTTATTTTATCATAAATAACCATCTTTTCTTTCTTTTTTTTTGCTTCTTCTTCTTCTTTTTCTCCTTGTATTCTAAGACCTTAGAATAACATTATTATTCTCTGTTCCTAGAATCTATTAAAAATAATATTGAAAAAAACCGATGGATCATAAACGCTTTTGCATATTCGCGTGATAATATTTGACAGCAGCTGTATGATAATGGACATAAAGCAAAATTACTAAATGAAAATAATATATTTTTTGCGGTTTTCCTATACAATATTTAATAGTAAATTATTAGATATTCTTATTTCAGAATCATATTTGTATCTTGTCTAATAAAATCTGACAGTATGCTGATTCCTTAGAGATTTTTTTTATGCAAAAAATTATATGTTCTTCTTCTATGAATAGAATGATTTATCTATCTATTCATGTAACCTTGATCAACATCATTCAAAAGTCGACAACCTTATATATGTATATACATAGCCTTGGCATTCCATTAGAGATGAAGAGTTGATCAACATAAGAGAAAAAAAAAGAACATCATACTATCGTCCTATTTATAATTCCTTATATTTGTATCATAACAGTCTATAAATCTTTAACATTATAATATTTTAATTAAATTAAATATATAAACAAAACAAAACGAATTCTTCCATTAGTGACAATTAGTTAATTGTTTTACTAAATAGTTGTAATCATTATTTTCTTATTAATCTTTACTGTCTTGTTAGAGTTAATGCATATCTTTCTTTTTTTCTCTTCTTTTTACGAAATAAATTCTATCTCTTCTCTATTTACACATATGTTATGGACAGATATATAATAGTTTCATAAGTGTAGTGATACAATCTCCGTTTTTTTTTCTGCTTCCTATTCGCATGGGTGTTGTTGTTGTTGTTTTTGGAAGACGATTACTAACGAGAATTGATAGATACCGAACAGCTTCTTGCTATTATTGTGATGCATCATTTTTGTCGTTTTTTTTATCAGCAACTGCAATCAAATAAGAGAGAGAAAATCGAGTATCAGTAGTTGAATGCTTGATATTTATCGACCAGCTTCTAAAAGATGCAAACAAACAGGTAATAGAGAACAAATGATTGACATTATTTTCTAACTAAAAAAAGTTCGTGACAACATACTAATGTCATTCTACTGAATAATTAAATATATGTCTCTACCCATCTCACTAACAGTGTGACACCTTATTAAAGGTCGTTTTTAGTTGAGAAGCTTGGTGAAATAAATATGAATCGCGGTTGTTATTCTCGGTATGATTATTTAGTTTGAGAAGAACCAAACGTCAATGATTAATCGTAAATATTCCTATCTCTTTTTCTTTTTATTATGTTTTTGGATATGCGAAAGAGAAGAGAAAAGAAAAAAGATATAAATGCAGTTTGAATATCTCTTTTTTTTCCTCATTTTCTTTTTTTTTTCTTATTTTTACCACAAACATACTTACACGAAAATATAAAATAGGTCTGTAAAATAAAAAAAAGGGAGATAAAGTTAGAGAACGAAAAACATATTTTGTACGCGTGTGTGTGTGTGTTCGAATCAATCGAGAACAAAAAAAAAGTAGAAAAAGAGAAACGCACTTATTTCTTCTGTCTTCATTATACGATTAACTTTTTTTGTGCAATCTATATATTACACGTGTGGCATGTCATCCATAATGAAAACAGTAGTTAAAGAAACAACTACAAATCCTAAAGAACAATTACCAAAGAAGAAGAAGAAAACTACTATAAAAGAGACAACATTATTAAACTCTAATATTTCTTCTTCTTCTCTTCCTAATTTTAGTACAGCACATCAACAACATCATTCAGCTCCACCACAACAAAATCAAGCATCAAAAACAGGTTTACAATCTATAAATGAAAATCTCGAATATTTACCTACGAATGGAACAAACGAACAACAGCAACAACAACAACAACAACAACAACAAGATATAACAAATTCTCGTTTTCCTCGTTCAAGTACAGTTCCTTATCCAGCTTACGCAACATTAAGAAAAGGTGGAGGAAATCGTGTTCCTTCACATTATTATTATACGGATTATCCAACATTTATTCACGGAACGGTTTCACCTGCCCAAGCACATACCTATTTCAATACACGTCAACCATTATCATCAATAAATACGAATTTTCAACCAATATCACCGCATCATCAACAATATACTCAGCGACCTGTGGATGTTCTTAAACCAACATTTTTAATTGTATCAAAAGAAGCTGAACAACAATTAACATCTCAACTTTCAACTTCAACTTCACCTATACCACCAATAGGATCTACTACAATAAAATCATCATCATCAAAACCAATGATGAAAAAATCGGATACAAAAACACAGGAAAAAACAACTACCGTTACGGATCAATCATCACCTACTTCACGAAATGTCGAAGTTCAAACAAATAATGATTCACCAACTCGAACAATGTCAACAGGAATACCAAATATAGATAATACCCATCAACATATTGGCCTTATTGCTGCTACACCTAATCCATCACCATATGTTCATTTTGTTAATGTAGCTTATTCAACACAATCTCCACAATTTTTCCAAGATGGTCCACCAGAAACATCTATCATGCAAGATGAATTTATTAATATCAATGATTATCATCATCCATCGGCTAGTATTCGATCAATGCCAAATATTGCCTTGGCACAAGGTAAGAATAGAAAAAGATGCATTTCTTCATATTGATATTCAATAGAAACGTATATTTTGACACTAATAATATACATATACAAACTCCTCCCATCGATTTCCTGTTCTCTTCTATACGTTAATCTTCAACTAATATTGCATCATAGACAAGGTTCTTCGTTCGTCAATCATTAGTCTTATACTTATATATATATATATATCCTATACATGCTTTATTCTCCTTTTAACAGTTGTCGCATAAACATTCTTCTTTTTCTTCGATATGATCTAATCAGAATAATAATAAAAAAAAAAGAAAAAATCTCTACTTCTTTTTTCTTGTTCTCTTTTTTTATAGTCTCGCCTCATCATTTATATGGCTCGCCTACTTTACAACACTATCATCTTTCGCAACAAATATATGACGAACAACAACAACAACAACAGCAACAACAGCAGCAGCAACAACAAGCACCGTTAACAAGTACGGAATCAACGGGTGTTCGATCAGCAACAGGACCTCAAATGGGACCAACATCAAAAACTATACGTGCTGAAATAGGAGAAACAGATGAATCAAGTTTAGCATCACTTGATTTTGCTCATACTGATTTCATTGATATGCCTGGTTCATGGAAATATCGATCATTACCAGATGGACGTTCAGTACCTGTAACAGCAGGAGGAAGACGTTATCGTGCACCAATACCTCAATCATTTCTTGATTTTCAACAATATGCCAGTGATTCCGAACAAGTTGTACGTTCATCTAGTTTTCGTCATAATCAATTACAACAACAACCTTTAATTCAAGTACGTCAATTTGGTTCTATACCAACAATTAATAGGTAAACATCACGAATTATTTTAAAATACAAAAAATATGTCATTTTAAATATTAAAATTCTAGACCATTTGATTCAATTCGAAGTCAACCAGGAGTTCAATTTGGTCCAACAATACGTTTAAATGAAAAAGATATTTTAAAAATTGGATCATTCTATCAAAGTATAGGTACACTTGTATATGTTGCTCGTAGTATTGCTACATTATATACATCAGATTTTGATGCAATGGCTAATTTAAAAGATTGGAAAGTACTTTATACAGGTGTACCTATATGGCTTTTTAATACGGGTATGAATCCTAAAAGGTAAATATCACAAAACAAACTTCTATTTTATATAAAAATAAAAATAATTTTTCTTCTTCTAAAAGAACTCGTTGTATTCGTTTAATAATATCTGAGCTTGGTTCAAGTTTTACACTTTGGGATACAATTGTTAATGGCGCATCCGATGTTCGTTTACCGAAAGCACGTCATATAACATTAAAATCACTTGAAACAGGTACAATACTTGCATTAAAATTTGATGATACAAATGCAACAGATGAATTTCATCAATATTTTGTTAAATTATCATGTGATCCACGTAATGCGGATTTATTTGATATATTCAATGCAAAACGTCGTCGACCTGTTTTTATTTTACGTAAGAAGAAAATAAAAAAATCTGCTATATCCAAACCATCGGAATTCAATCATATAACCAAAGTAGATGAACATGATAAAGACTCATTATATACTTATTCGGTGCTTGTCGATGATGGAGCTCTTGTTGGTTAATACGAAAAACAAAGAAAAAAATAGAACCTTTTTTTTTTATTCTAACTTCATATTATGTTGTCTTTGTCTTTATGTATGCCTATATATGTATCTATGTCAGTATGAGTGAGTGTGTGTGTGTTCTTTTTTATACACGTATATTATAAGTATTGTGTTGGTTATCTTCATGTTTAACATCTGTGGGGGACTTTTTACTTTATAACCCATAAGTAAACATATACATATATATATATATATTCGGATTCGTTTATTAAAGTAAGATAAGTGAATCAAATAAGATTGTTTGATTGACCTTTTAAAGAAATCTCAAATATCGACTACTACCTGCTTTTGATTATAGACGATAAGCTTAGAAGTGAAGAAATTGAGAATATGATCTTCCTTTTTTTTTATTTCTATTGTCAATTTTGATTGAATTTGTAATATTTTTTATATACAAATGGAATTTATTATTTAATCATAAGGGAAAAGAGAAGAAGAAGAAGAAAAAAAAGGCGGCATTAGAAAATAGATGAGAACTGTCTTGATTAATTTGCATCACTAATAGCTGTATCTTTTTATTTCCATTTGAGAGTTGGATTATTATGATGAACAAATTATATTCTATGACAGATGGAGATGAATAAGAGAAAAAAAAGAAAAGGTTCATAATTAATTCTTTTTATTAAGTATATTGTCTATGATTATGAAAAGTAATAAGAGAAGCAAGAAAAAAAAAGGTTTTCTTTTAAATCATTTATTAAAAAAGAATGAGTAACTTTTTATCTTTTGTTAGAATTGTAATGAATAAGAAATAAAAAATGCTCTAAATATTCTAATATTTATAGAAAAAGTTCTCATTTAAAATTACAATAGTTATTTTTCGAAAAATCAATATTCTAAGCGTATGTTTATTCTATTTATTTGAAAGAAATTAATGAATAGTTAATTAGTCACCTAAGGCGCGATCAAAAAAAACATCAAATGAATTATCCTAAAGGAATCTATCCGTATGTTTTTTTGTACTTGTAATTATTTTATTCACAATTGATTTCTTTGTTAGAAATGATCCTATTCTAATTGCATCACCATATCCATTTAATACATCAAAGTTATCACATATCGAATGTTTTAGTAATGATCAAGGTATTATTCTTTCATTGACAATCATTGCTAGAATGTTAGATAAAAATATATCGTCATTACAATATACAAAAGATAATATAATAAGAAATGGAAGTATTACTTTAATAATTCCTACACCATTTAATTATTCGGAATTATATTCAAAAATTGAATGTCGTTCAAAATATCATTATGGTGTACAAAAATTTAGTGAACTCGATATATTTTCTGTAGTTGAAATACGTCAAAATGAATTTCTTTCTATAAGTACTTATACAAATCAAAAAGTAACAATTCATTGTCTAACATATGGAACAAATGTTTGTATGTATACAAAAGAAAAATAAATAATAGAAAGATTATTATTTTTTTTTTGTTCTAGTTATTTCTTGGGATTTTAATTATGATTTATCAAATGATATATTTCGTTCTTTACCTATTGGTATTCGTATAGATCATAAATTTACTCTTAATGATACGTTAATTATTGATCATGTTTCGTATTCTGATCATCATGGTTATTATCGATGTTATGCTACAAATAAATTATTTAATATAACTTATGAAGATACAAGTATAATTTATTTAAATGTTAAAAAAAGTTCTATATGGATACCAATTGTAATTATATGTATAGTAATTGGAATATGTATTTTATTACTGATTTTATGTTCGAAATATTGTCAAACAAGAAAACAAAATAATCAAAAAACTTCTGAACAAGTTATAGAAAATATTCATACTCCTTCTTATTCTGATAATTCAGCTCAATCACAAGGATCATTATTATCTAGTCCGAATATATCATCTCAATTTATTCTTGATAATCCATTTCTTGATCCAAATGTTCAACCGATCTTATTAAATAAAAAATATATTAATAAACTGCAAGAATTTTTATAAAATCTTCTCTTGTGAAATTTAATAAAAATTATATGTTTTGATTTGATCAATTGTAGTTTTCTTTTCTCATTTATTTGATTAAAAGAAAATATACAAGTCAACGTAATAAGATGTGAAAGTCAATAGGAGATTCTCTTTATTCGATTACTCAGATATTAATAAATGACATTTTCAATAAAATTCTTATCTGATATAAGGTGCCGGAAAAGCAAAATTTTTCATTTTTTTTATACATGGTTCGATAGAGCTCGCCGAGCTGAGCAAGAATATGCCAATTTTTATATTTTTTCGAAAGGTTTTTGGCGAAAGTTTTCGATTTTTTTCTAGAGTGCTCAATGATCCATTTTTATATGTCCCAAGGAATGAAAACACCATTTAAAACTGAAAAAAACATTAAAAGATAATTTGTATTTAATTTTGTTTTCAAGAAAATAGATCATTCAGCGCTTTGAAAAAAATCGAAATTTTCCAGCAAAAACTTTCGAAAAAATATAAAAACGGACATATTGTTACCCACCTCGATGAACTCTATCGAACCATGTATAAACAAATGAAAAAAAAACAATCTGGTACATTTTTGAAATTCTGCCATCTTGCATTTATTGAAAATTTACAAAGATTATAAATTAACTGTATAGTTCTTTTTTGATTTTATTTCATAGATCATATCAAGCAGTTGTAATTTTTTGTGCAAAAAAAAGATCTAAGAATGACTTTTTTATACCAACAATTTAATAATCGATATGAAATAAACACAATGTTTTGATTGTATTTTATTCTTCGTGAGAAGACAAAAACAAATAAAAAGAATCTGCAATGTATTGGGCAGGCAATAAACGCATTAGGATGAAATATAAACGGAGGGAGATAGAGATAAAGAAACAAAAAAAAACAATAAATCATCCCTAAAAATGTTTTGCACATTATTTTTATGTTATTTTTTTTATTGCGTTCTATTTACAAATAACAAATAGTAAGAAAAGAGAGATTTTTTATAATTTTGATCAATTGTGCCACATCAACGACAAAAAAAAGAAACGTACAGATGATGAAATATATTTTGTTTCATTAACAGACAAAAAAAGAAAGAAAATGAGAAAGGAGCAGACAAACAAACAACATCACACACAATATTGATATTCATTATCATTCGAGAAAAAAAAGTAATATGACCAGTGTATTATGTAAAAAAAAGATGAATAAACATATTTATTATAATATGTATGCGCGTTGACAAATATAGAGAAAGAGATAAAAATTAAAGATGAAATGCAAAAAACAGAAACGAGAAAAATTCATCCATTGTTTCTCTCATGCATTCGTATAATTTGAAAATCTGACGCGCATTTGGTCTAAAAATCAACAATATAATTTTTTTTGTAATTTCAAAATTTAAATATACCTTTGACTGGAAAATTTTTTCTTAGGCGGTGTTCAATCACGATTAAATGATTTTGTTTCATTTGTTTGTTGATTCTTTATTCTAGTATTATCATAGTGACCATTACGCATATTTGTACTTGGTTCAGATGCTGTTTCTCCTTCTTCACCTTCTTTTTGATCACTATCATTTATTGAATGATGACGAAAATTATTATTCTTATTACTACCACTTCCATTGACTATTGGTTGTCTTTGTTGTTGATTTTGTATAATTGATGCATCACTACGTTTGGAATGTTTTTTATTTGTTGGACGTTGTTGCTGATAATGTTCATGAGAATAATTATAACGATTATTGTAATGTCTTTATATATAAATGGGAATAATATATAAAGGAATGCGAAAATGAAAACTTACTTTAGAGGATGTTCATAATAGTAATTACTGGATAGATCATGCTTATGTGAATTACGACTACCACCATGTGCTGCTCAACGAACGGAACCATAATAATTATGCGTACCAGACATTTGCATTGTATCACATTCTAAATAAATATTTAATACGAGTACTGAGATTAAATAAAACAAGTTAGTTTTATAAAAACATTTTCTCTATTATGTTTCTATTTTCAAAAGAAGGATTATCTATTTCATATCAGATACTTCCCGATGAATAGTTATTTAGAAATACAAAAGCATAATCATGTTGATTGTCAAATCTAATAAAATTCAAGAACTCACGATCTGATTTTTTTCTTGACTTATTTCAATTTATGAATTAGAAGCGATCAATTCTAAAACATGAAAGATAATCCTTGGTGATTTTTTTTCGTTATCATCATTTATTTAAGTTAATGCGACCGGTAAAATGGTCAGCATCAGATAAACTTTTATATGCACAAGAACAATATGAAAGATTACCTTACATTGGTTGAACATAATTATTTCTATGATGGTGTTGTTGTTTTTTTATTTATTTTTGTTGATTCATTTTCTATTTGTACAACAGTAGTTTCATTATCATTTTTTATTGCAACTTTTTCATCTAATATGCTATTACCGGAATTTTTGATTTTACAATTTCTTTTGCCAATATTTCCGGTGTTGGAGTTAATACAGATGTTTCATTTGATTTTTTTATTGATACTTCTTCATTAGTTGTCTTCGGTTTCTCTAGTGAAGAATTAATCTCATCAATAACTGATGTTTTTGTTTGTTCAAATGATTGATTCGTTTTTATTATTATTTGTATTTGTACAATTCTTTTTCGATTGTGCTCTATTATTTGTTGTAGGTGCTAATGGTATATCAGATGTATTAACCGTATTACAAGTTGTATATTGTTGTTGATCGATTTATAAATTTGAATCATAATACATATTTTCATTATCGTAATGCGATAAATTTGTATGATTAGTAGTTTTATATAATTTCGCAGTTGTATTTATATCAGATCGTACACCATTAATGATGGTATAAATGCTGTATTTATTGTTTGATATCGTTGTTTATGATCATTGATATTTATTCTTTGTTGATATGATTCTGATTGACGACGATCATTTATTTGTTGTTGAGATTTATATATCATTGATTCTTGTGGTGTTGAATTGATAGATTATCGTTAGTTTTATTTAACGTCAATGAATTTTGTTTAAAACGCGAATCTAATTGAATTAAAAAAAAGAAAAAATGAATACATTCAAAATGAATATTAAAATTTACTTGTTTGTTGTCGATCATTATTACGTGTTTTTGTTGATGATTGTTTATTATAACGATTTGGTTCTTATGTTGAAAGATCATCTGAATGTAATTGTTGACGATGTCGCTGATGATTATCTATTGATTTGTCCCAATTATCATAATAGTCTGTACAATCACGTTTATCAGAAATTTTTGAAGAATTTTTAGTTTGAATTGAATTTGGTTTTTTTCGAAGGTGGTAGTAGTTTTTTAGATTTTCTTGTAACTGGTTTTCTGTCATGTTGAGATCGTGAACTTGATCCACTTTGGGAATGATTATATTTATTTGATAAAGATTGTTCTTCATTTTCTGGATGACTACCAGATCTAAACGATAACGTTTATTAAATGTCATTTTACAAAGAAGTGTTCAATAAAATAATGTGTTTTGTAAATATTTTCACTCTTAAATCTATACTTCGTATAACTCTTGAAATAACAGATATGTCTACATCAATTGTTCACTTTAAATGGTCTATTGTTTTTTCTTCTATAAATATTATAAATACTGCTCTTCTTTGAATGAATTATATTAATGATGTTACAAGATAATGAAGATTTTAAACAAATTATTTTTCTAGGTGTAAATTCTTTCCTATGTATAACACATCTAAAAAATAAAGATAAAATATAGAGTAAAGAAATTACTTTCTATCAAAACGTAATCTTTTATTTTTTTTTGAGTAGTTCACAAAAAATCACGATACTCTAGGTAAATATAATATAAAATAATATTTTTTATATATATCGTTTGTTGTGTGATCTTTTTTTTGATGATACAGTATATAGAAATGATGATAATGATAAGAACACTAGTTAACGTAAAAAAATGTATCCTTATTCTTTATTCTAACTTTATTTTTGTAAATAAAGTAAATCTTTACCTTTATTTATAAAGTCAAGATAAAGTAACACCTCTATTATTGATTGAACATTTTATCGTCATTCACTAGTTTGATATTTTTTGTAAATATCCTTCGTTTTTGTCACGCATGAGTTACTTTTATATTGATCGTATCTTTTCTTTTCTTTTCTTTACCTTTGATTTATGTATAGTTGTCATATATTTTGATGATCATAATCGTATCTATACGAAAGCTAGTATTTCAAATAGTAGACATGTGATCGATAAATTTAAGCAATCGAACAATAGATTAGTAATACTTGTTTTGCACAACACGCAGGCATAGGTATCAAGGAAAAAGTAATAAAAAAATATATCGATATAAAGCAATATTTTTATAATATGCTTCTTTTGTGTATAGAATAATGTTAATATAAACAACAAGGATATTCTTTGTTTTTATCAAGGGAACGCAAGGCTATTATATTTTAATAACCTTCAAGATTAGTCATTTTTTTTTGTATCTATTTTTTAACTAATGAAAACGCCTTGTTTTGCCTTGAAATAGAAGAAACGATATATTTTCATTACTCTCTCTTTCTCTCTTCCTCTCCTGCCTTCATAGTGACTATATAAGACTGAGTTTATCTTTGCAAAATTAATATTACCATACAATAGTTACTCTTTCATTCAATACAAACAAGTACAATGGTTGACAGCAAGACTGTAGTATGTATCTTGGTTTTAATAGTTATATGTTCAACAATTTGCAACGCCCGCTCCTTCAAAAACGTTGATGAAGATGCATCTGACAAAACTGCTGAGCTGTTTATGAGAAGATTTCTCCAACACTATGCGAAGCGTATCCTTCATTCATTTTAACTATGATCTGTGTTATTTAGTATGCTTTCGTCAAGTACATGAGATTCACTAAAATATTTGAATAGAATGATACTAAGAATCATTCATTTGTTACGAATTTCTTTATTAATATATACAGTTCGATTGCTTTTATTGTAAATAAAAATATATTCGAGGAAAGAATTTGTTTGAGTTATTCACTAGTCCCATCTTTATGGATTATGTGTTAGAAATTTGAAGTTTTTCGTAATAGTAAATGAATACTGAATAATGTGTTGATCATAAGTGTACATTAACTACATATTTATTGAATGCTGAATGATCTTTTCTATTGTTTTCTGTAATGAACTAGTATCTGAACAGAACATTGATTAGAATTATTCATTATCAATACAGACTCTAGTCTCATCACCATTGTCCGGTTTGTTGTTAACCGTGCAAATATTTGAACAGAATTATGCTAAAAATTATTCATTTACAGTGTATTCAGTAAGTGTGATAAATCTCGAATTTTAACTATAGAGGGGAATATATTTGACTAGAATCATTATTAGAAATATTCATTTTTAGTGTATCTACCAGTCAAAACGAATCTCAAATTGTTTGTTCTAGCATGGCATATATCTGAATAGAATACTGCTGTTGAATATTCATTTGGAATATATTTATCAATCATGTATAAACTCTCAAATCTTCTTGAAAAGTCATATAACAATTGAATAGAGTTATCCTTAGAATCATTCATGTAGTGTAAAATTTTTATTCCTATTATTACAGTATCTGTGTGTTTTGAAATTCTTACATTATATTCAAACAGAATATTTGTTAGAAAAATTCTATTATTATCCGACGTTCAATCATTTGAGTGATCGAAACTTTGCTTTCTAAAGAAATAAAATATCTGAATAGAATGATCGTTTCCGCTGTTCATTTTCTACGAATTTCCTGTACATAAAACAATTCCTGTCTCGTTCTTCAGTGAATAAGATTTTTGACTAATATTATCCTGACTAAAACTATTTATTTAATTTATACTATAGAATCATATTGCAACTTTAATCACATTTTGAGAAACGAAAAAGATATTTGAACAAAGTATGACAGTATAAAATATTCATTTTTCATAAGATACTTAATTATTGTTTAAAAAGAAACTATTTTCTCGAAGAGTTATCCGTATCTGGATCTGCTGATGACTGCAATATTCATTTTCTGTGCGACTATACCTTACGATACTTATTAAATTAATTTTTGTTGCTGTAATTATAATATTCCTATAACACTAGTGTTCTACAATTCATATATTGAACTATCTTTGATTACACATACAATGGCAAATGTTCTGTTAAAACCGTCAACATATTTGAATGAATCTCTTGTTCGCTCAATTTATATTACACGTGAGGATAATGCATATACTCTGGTACAACTAATAATTTATATGTTCTTCAATATACCAGTATATACGTTTTCTACGCAATATTCATTATCGCCCATGCTTTGATCAAATACTTTCTTCTAAGAATATTAGTTCGATTTCAACAAAATAGTTGTATCATAGCTTGGTATGAGACATTCATAATCGCTATCTCTCGACTATCTAATTTTATAAAAACTTGATTTCAGACAAACGAAAATACTTGAACATAATATCTAACTAAAACTTATTCATTGTCCATTGACTTATCAATCTTTAAGCATAATGTAAATCCTACATTTGGTTGAATAAAGTATATAAATATGATGTTTGTTAAACGTGTTCATCTATGATTTATTTTAAGATGTGCTAATGTGAGTTAGAAATCTCAATTAAATGCTAAAAAAATATTTGAACACAATCTTACTATAATTTATTCATCTTTCGTTTGTTTGTGAATGTTAAGCTGCTCTAGAAATTATTCTTTAAACGAAATAGAATAGTAGAATGAAATCTTCCTGTGATTTATTCACCTATCACCTTTTTGTAAATGATAAATTGTTTCAAAAATTGTTCTTCGAACCAATTAAGATACAAGAACATAATCTTACTGTGACTTATTCATCTATGATTTGTCTGTGAATGTTTAAGTATTGCAGAAAATGC